TTCTAACTCTAATTCTACCTAGAAATGACAAAACATTGGTCACTAAAATTGGGTAATATTTAAAATTAAAAAGAAATCCTATTTACTAAAATGAATAAAAAAATTCTTAATCTTTCTCAATTTTAATATTAATTCTACATTAACTCCAACTCCAACTTCACATAAAAATTACTAAATATTGACTATTAACATTATCTAATATTTAATATTCAAAGAAATTTCAATCCATCAGAATGAATAAAAAATAGAAGCAACAATACTCTTTAATGTTTCGCCATTTTAATATTAATTCCATATAAATTCTAACTTCAATTTCACCTAAAAATTACCAAATATTAGCTATTAATATTATCTAATATTTAAAATTCAAAGAAATTTCAATCCATCAGAATGAATAAAAGAATAAACACCAATATTTCTTAATCTTTCTGAATTTTAATATTAATTCTATATCAACTCCAACTCTAACTTCACCTAAAAATTGCCGAACACTGATCATTGTTGAAGCAACTGAATGAGAAAAGAAATCTCTAAATCCTAACGATATGTGGTGAGAAGGACGATCCCTTCTTCTCCTTTTTATCTTTTGTCTTCTATTTTTTGGAGAACCCTATGACCTGGGCTACCCTGAACAGGCAGGCCAGTTTTGACTGTACGCCTCTTCAGTAAACATATAAATTCTTCCATCATTCCACAGGATACGTCCTTTTTGTAATCCAACCCCTCAACGACTATAAACAATGTCCAACATTTAAAATACAACAAATTTCAATCCACCAAAATGAACAGAAAAATAAATAAAAATCCTATTTCCGAATCCTCAACGTCTCCACTGAAATTTGCAGACCAGTACCAATCAGTTCAATCAACCGAACCTTCAATCTCATCAATTCAGATCCATCACCCAAGTATTTCAAGCGATTCGAAGAAGGTCTCCCAAATTCCAAGTGTCGAAAAAAGAGCGCGTCCTCGGACTGTGACGAGACAATTCGATACGACGAGAAATCGATTGGCAAGGTGCTTCGAGATCCACTGCCGAACTCGGTCGAGAGGTGCACGGCGCCACTTGGCCACGCGTTTGCCAAGATAATCCGGAAACTCGTTCTAGCGTTACCGTGGCACATGTCCAATCTGGATCGTGCGTGATCTAGCCCCGTGTTAGCTGTGAAATGCACCCAGAATGCGGTCGTGAAAGCACGTACCAGTGTCCACTACCATGAACAAGCAGTCACCTGGCAGTCTTATTACGAATGAAACCTCGTCCACTGAATTATAATCCATTTCGAGCTGTCACTATACTTTTCACGACACCCTCTCTCGCTTCTTCCATTGTTAGCTCTCCTTTGTTCGAGTGTACCTCTTTCAGTCGATCACTTGACTTACTGTCAATCCGCTATGAGCGGTCTTGAGAGGCTATTAATCTTCCACGAGTGTTCTCGACTTGTTATTAACGCTATCTAAGCGCACTTAGGTTATTAACTCTCTATAATTAAATCTGCAGAAGCCAGACCGGTAGCAGATAGCTATCGGTGGCGTTTAGCCGTGAAGATAGGATCAAAACTGAAACAGAACCAAAATTTAATTCGGAGCTATGAGTCAACGGCACCACTCGAGGATTAAGTAGCTGAAAAATGTCAAACATCTTCTTCCTTCGACCTATCTGATCAAGGCTGGCAGCCAAATTTCTGCCAACGATATTAATCAAATGCTTCCACCCACCGATTACCATCTACCAACTTCTAAATCGCTAGTAAGACACAATTTTAGACATAGACTCTGAGTCAGCCTTAGTCAGACAGAGCACCAGAGATAGCCTCGGTGTAGTCCGACAGACGCAAGCACTGACCGTGCCCAACCCAATCCGACTCTGATAATCGGGCAACAATCAGTGCTTTCCACGCCAAGTACCGAGAAGCAGAAAATTAATTGCGTCCGTTCACGATAAACGATCCAACCTTCGAAATTCGGTCTACTAAATCAACTGACCCTCTCCACGCGAGCTGAACTCCGCTATCAATTACCCGGACAGGTTAACCCGATAAATCGTTAATATCAGTCAGAAACCCTTTCCAAGCGCCAGAATGCCCGATTACACGGTCCGATAATAATCGATAGTCGTTCTAGACAAGGCTTGGGTACGATCAATAGCCCGGATAATAGACGCTCAGATAACCAACTCCTCGCTAGGCTTATCTGACCTAGGAGAGATTTGGTATTTCATTAGACTAGGCTAACGTGGAATCCACTAGCGATAGGCTGTTTGGGCGTGTAATATCTCTACTTTTTTCTGGGATAATCGTCAGTCCAAGTGATGATGGGTGAGGATTCGAAGCTGTTGGAGAGTTCTAATCTCCCGCTCTTGTGTATTAGACGCTTCTAGCGACATCTGTTATTTCCTATATCGAAATAAAACTAACGGTTGAGGACACTACTTTCCAAGCAACTGTAAAGTAAGCACGTGCTGTTATCGTGAGTGTCCACCCCTAGAAACCCTATTTTATGTCAAAAGCCGTTCGTCGATTGGGCTATCAGGAGAACATTACTATTTTGTTAGACTTTAGTTGGACTCGCAGGGTGTCAGTTAATTTGCGTGTACCTAGATGCAACTTCTTCCTAAATTATCATAAGACGAGTTAGAGATTAGCGAAGATTCCAGGATTTTTATGAATTAGATCACCTGGAGAACTCGATATTTTATCAGATTATCGTTGCAATCGAATGATATCAGTCACTCTAGACACACGATAGATGTTCTTCGAATAATCGTGACACAAAATGGACACAGACAAGGTCTTAATAGCTTCCATGAATTAGACTGTAGCAACGTTCACACCCTCATTGCTGGATAGAAAACGAAGGTTCGAGGTTTCTCGCAAGTCCAGGGTGAATCCTGGACTCCCATAAATACAAATTCCTATGCTTCCTAAGTATCCCCTGTCTAAGGCCTGCTAGAAAGACTCACTGACGAGTTCTCTAACAGGCCCAGGACGAAACGCATTCATTCCTTGCGTTCTTCTACCTGCTACCTGTCATAGCAAAGATGGCTATCAAGATACCAATTGGCAGCACGTAGGAACTACAAGATGACAGAATCGTCATAACTACCACAAGACATCTAAGTAAAGAACCAAAGGACTAATCCAATAGACTGTCATCGAAATCAGGTGGTACTAGGCACTTTGGAGAGTACACCAGGTACAATAGATGCACTTTATTTTAGAACAGTCGTGAAACAAAATGGACATTGACAAGGATTTGGACGTTTACGTTGATAAAGCTATTCGAAGAACTCGAGGATTGATACGTAACTGTCATAAACGTATCAAAGGAGAGTGAGTGACATTGGTCAGGTCAGATGGAGAGCAGACTTTATACGAAATAATCACGAGATGAGATGGTAATGACGAAAATTCGGAGGTACTCGTCAATAATATTGTTCGAAGAACTCATTGGCTGATATTTAGTTAGACTTTCGCCGGAATCGAGTGGCGTCAGCCGGTTCGGACATACAACAGACTTCTTCCATTACGGAATAATGGCAACTCGAAATGGTCATGGATGGGAGTTCGAGGGCGTTCATCGATAAGACTATCTGGAGAAGTCGTGGAAAACGTGTGTTGTCAGAGGCGAAAATACCTGTTTCACGAAATGGCTTTGTACACGCCTTTCCACGAGCTGGCCGACGAGGAACGCGCTAGGCATTTTCGCAACTCCGTGTTTTTCTTTTTCCCTTTCCTGCTAACGCGATTTCCAAGTGGAATTCGCAGAGGAAGAAGAGAGGTCACTTGGACGATGACTTCTAACCGGGATGCAGAGGTGTATTTTTAGACGACGAACATGCGTGTAACGTTTTGACGCCTGGATGCTATTGAAATTTGACAGCGTTCAGAGAAAAATGGATTTTTAAATAATTAGGTCTTTCAACCATTCCTTTCCATGACTTTGGGTACCTCTAACTTGAGAAGTACATTTACGATAGTCTTTTATAAATAATTTCTTTGTAGGACGAACATGTGTGTAACGTTTTGACACCTGGATGCTATTGAAATTTGACAACGTCTAGAGAAAAATGGATTTTTAAATAATCAAGTCTTTTAACCATTCCTTTCCATGACTCTGGCTACCTCTAACTTGAGAAATACTTTCACAATAGTCTTTTATAAATAAATTTTTCCAACCATAAACATATGTGTAACGTTTTGACACGTGGATGCTATTGAAATTTGACAGCATCCAGAGAAAAATGGATTTCTAAATAATTAGGTCCTTTCATCGTTCCTTTCCATGACTATGGCTACCTCTAACTTGAGAAGTACATTTGTGATAGTCTTTCAATAAATTATTTCTTCGAACCGAGACCTGTTTTACCTAATTTTTTACTATTGCTTTTAGATAATAATTTTAATTAATTTTCTTCGAATGCAATATCCTTTTTATATGTATAATACCTATTTCGAGATACTGTAATATGAGCCATTTTCAATTGCCAAATGTATTAATCTAGCAAACTAGGAAGTAGAAATTTGTTTCAGTTCTAGAATTCGAGGATGAATTTTTCATAGTACACGTGTCTCGAAATTTATTATACTATACTAGAGCAAAGGTATCGTTAACTAATTTCGGAAATTAGATATTTTCGAAAAATATGCAAAGGAATATTCCAAGAAAATGCGGGAGAAATCAGGAATCATGTAATGTCATCCTCGAAGTTAAGTATTAATAGAAAGCTTTGACTGCAAAAATTTTTAAAAATTCGAAAGATATTAAAATATAGGCCGATATAATTGAGACGTGTATCACTTTCTTTCAGTCTATCGATAAAATAGGTAGATCTGTTATAACATTTGGCAAATTGAAAGGCACAGTCGTCGATCTTTAAATTAGATGCTCGAAAGACAAATATTAGTTGGTCTGTAAATGCTCGCAGTAATTCTTCTTATAACAAACAGAAAGTAAGGAGAGATTAAGGTAATCATCGTAAAGATAATAGTCTGACTCACCATTCCGTGGCAAAGACTGACAGTGACAGCTGAGTACGGATCACCGTCTACGGTCCCGCTGTAGAAACAACCAAGTTCATGGCCCGGATATTCCCTTCTGGTTGTGTCCTCACCCATGTGAGTAATCTAAATAAACAGAAATAAAAGGTCACGGGACGCTTGATTAGGCAAGTAAATCGTTGCAATAACAACCGCAAATAATATCAATGGTATTATAACTACGTCTGCACTTTCAATGCAAATACATAGAATTTTTCGCGCGTTAGAAAAAATAAACTGTAATATAAAATGCACGGTTACTTGAAAACAAACAAGCTTGTAAAAGCTTCCAAGCAAACGAATTCCAACATTATACAATCATGTTTCCCGATATTTACCTTTAGCTTTATTCCTTCTTTCAAAGGAGATATATAAATATATATATGGATTTTATAATTACTAAAATTGAAATTTTTAATTTTTTGCAAAATTTTTATATTCGATATGTGCTAATAGAAATAAATAACAGAATTTTCATAGAAATTTTGGAATCACTCTGCAAAGCCCACAACTGCAAAGTTAATACCAACGAATTCTAATATTACTAAAATAGAAATTTTGCAAAATTTTTATATTCGATACATGCTAATAGAAATAGATAATAGAATTTTCGTACAAATTTTGGGATTACTCTGCAGATTCCACAACTATAAAATTAATACAAACGAATTCCAATATTATACAATTTCTCGATATTTATCTTCAGCTCTATTCTTCTTTCAAAGGAGATATACTGCATTTCAAAATGACTAAAACTGAAACTTTTGCAAAATTTTTATATTCGATATATGCTGATAGAAATAAATAAAATTTTTGTAGAAATTTTAGGGTCACACCGCAGAGTCCACAACCGCAAATTTCTATATACATATTTATTACAATACTAATAAAATTTAATAAATTTGGAATTACTCTATAAAACTCGGAATAATAAAATAAATAAATAAATATCGAAAAATTTTGTCAGAAATTTCGGGAACCAATTTTATATCCCAAATTTCACAGCGCAATGTTATTTCGATATTACTTATTATTATTTTTATTTTTATTTTGATGAATATTTTGATAATACCATCAATACCACCACAATCAAATTTTCCTTGAACAAAAATTCCAGTTCGAAATCCCTCGAGGATTTTCTTCATACCTCATGGAAGTTTGTTTGCTCGATAATCCAAGCGTATCTGTTTGTTTCTGAATACCTGATCCGGCAAGAAAACTCTGGCTCAACGATACCGCGATCATTTTGTACTTATTTTCGACAATTTAACGACCAGGTACCTAATACCGCCGATAAATAATTCAAGGATGATACACTGGAGGCGGCTTTTAACGCCTCGTCTATCGCGACGCGCGTAAGGAAAATTATGCAAGCTCGGGCGCGGAAGCATCCGCGATAATATCGCGTGCATTAGCATAGTAATAACGCGTCGGACAAGATAATTTTTCCGATAATCGTAACAGGATTAGCGGCGAGGCGAGAGGATCGAATTGCCATCCTCGTGTCGGCGGTTCGATAAATTAACTCGTAAAACGCGTGGTAAATTGATTGGAAAAGGACGTGGTTGTCTACCTTGATGTTCCGCGACACGAAGCTGGCGTCGTGGGCTAAACGTAAGCGAAACCGTCTTCCAAACGCGGTGAACTCGTACTGGGGATGAGGGTCCCAGACCTCCGCATTCGCGTGCCGGAAGTGGCCGCTGTGGTGCCTCTTGGCCATCGAATATTTGTCCGCTGAAACCAAATTTCCTGTCATTAACCCTTTGCAGTCGAGAGGCGTCCTTCAGTCGCCATTTGATCAAATTTCGAAGCTCGATATTAATTAATATATCAAGTTTAACCCTTTGCACTAGAGAGGTGAGCTTCAGTCACCATTTCATAAAATTTCGAAGATCGATATTAATTAATATATCAAATTCAATGTAATGTAACAATGTGCAAGGTATCGAAATCAAATAATTCTATAATTTTATTATTATACAATTCTTTATTTACTGCTCAAAAAACTATCGTCAGCTTTTCAGTAGAGAATCTTTGAATTTCTACTCTTCTCTAGCCAAAAGGGTTAAAATAATGTAATAGTATACGGGGTGTCGAAATTGAATAATTCTACGTGTCAATTATTATACGATTTCTTATTTACTACTCGAAAAATATCATCAGCCTTATGGCAGAAAATTTTTCAACAGGTACTTCGTTCTTTAGCCAAACAATCCTCGAGTGCAAAGGGTTAATGATCTCATTTTTCTTATTGTAAATAATGAAGAGGAATGTGGAATTTCTTCTTTACATGTTTTTATTAAATATGGACCTGTATGTAGATAAATTTAAACGTATATAATATCTTATTTTATTATTATGTCATAATTTATTTTGTTATACGTGCACCAGAGTACGCTCGTCCTGTTAATAAATAAATGAATGGGTGGATAAAGGAATAAACGAGTAAAGAAATAAATAAACGTAGACATTTTCACCATAGTCTCTCGAATACTAATAATTATAGTCAGCGTCCATACTACTTATGCTACAGCATGCACGCGTTGAACACGCGGCGCATACCTGAAATACGAGGTTCGTGCTAGTTGGTAACTAGTTCATTTGTTGCTGGTAATCGTTGACAGTCGCGCGAAGTTGGCAAAGCGAGGGACCAGTGCGTGACAAAACGCGCGTGTCGCGTTTAAAACGCCGCTTTACGACCATTTTCCACCAGCCACGCTGGCTATCTTGTTCCTCAGCCCTCGGCAAACGTGTTTTACGGTAAAGGCTACTGTTTCATTAACTGTACCCCGTTCGCGTGACTATTAATTTTCCTCGATTATTCTTTCTCCCCTGGACGAAAATAAATCACCGGTACACTCCGTGCTAGGCGTCTGTTTTTGACGCTCAGACGTCGAATGACGAGGATCTCTGCTGGCAGAGATAACTCACATAGGGATTTTTGGTGAACAGACGTGTAACTAGGATTTAACCGCGAAATTTGAAAACCGGGGAATTGGACGAGAATTCAAAAAAAATTTGTAACGATTGGTCGGTGATTTATTGAAATAACATGAGTAAAAATTGGGAATAGATATGTATAGTGACGTATAGTGTGCATTAGCATAAGTATTAGCAATGGTAGGACGTTCAAGAATTATTATCTTAATAGTAGTTAGGTTATGAAGTATCTGTATGGTGAATGTTAAAATGGCTATATTATAAATTATGTATAACGAATAATTATTGCAAATTCTAATTTTATTTAGACTTCTTGGACTTCCCTATTTCGACAGAAATATTTTAAGTAGTGTTTATATTGTATAAATACAAAAATCTATGACAAAATTTCAAGTGTTGGGTATTAAAAATCCAAAATTTCACACTCGTGAGACCCTAGAACTTAAAATTTCGAGAATTCCAAATGTTAGATTCGAAAGGACTTTGAATTTTTTACTCCAAAAATTCGAAGTCATTTGCACGGGGATTCCCCAATATCGAACATAACAAAAATTTCGAAATTCGACAGAATTTCAAGTTGAAGAATCGTCTCCAAGCCGTGACGGAGTTGCACTTAATCATTTACCGATAATCCCCACCGATCGTCGCATTCCACACGAGCCCAGTAAATACGAGCAGGGGTGCGACTGCATATATCCTCGACCAAGCGAATCTTCTCGAAAGGCGAGCGCATTGCAGGCCGATTTACGCTTCCGAGAAGCGTACTCGCAGATCGATGCGAAACGATCGCGTCCTTTATAAATAATCTGGTTCCGGTCGCGTCGTCTGCTTTTTATCTGCGCATGCGCGGTCGCGTACACACGGCCGCGCATGCGCGCCGCCTCGTCTCGCACAATCGAGAGCTTAACGAGGCGAACGTGATCCTGATAAAGGTGGTATACGCTCGCCACGCCGATACGCTTCGTGGATCACGCGTGCACGTTCCATCGTTGGAACGCAGCCGAACGCATCGCGGCCTAATTGCGCTAATTCGAGTCGCGCGCCTCCTATGGGGATCGATGATCCCGCGAGAGATCGCGATGGCATCGATCAAAGAAGAGGTTATGATCGCTCGGCATGGACGAACGTTTCCTGGTTCCACTGTTCGCTGAATCGAGTAGAAACGAGACCGTGTCAGGCGATGGCAATTAATGAGATCGGTACTGAAGCTGATTTGATTGATAGAAAAGGTTAGGTCCATTTGGGTACACTGTTTGGACTATTCGAGTTGGATCTCGGGATGTGGTTAGAATGAAGCGTTTTCTGACGAATTTGGCGAATGTTATCGATTTGTAGATCCATGCGATTGTTAGGTTAGGAATTATTAGGTATGATAGGTTTGTTGGGAGAAGGTAACAGATGATGGTTATAGTAGATGCATTTCCTGACGAGTAGATTTATGGACTATTAGAGTTACTGGGCTATAAATTGTGCAAAATTTGGGTTATTAAGAACGAAATGTTTGTCGAACAAACATAATAGATAATGGTTATAACGAATGCGTTTCCTGATATATTAACTTTCCACGAAATGAGTTTGTAAATTAATTAAATTTCTGAGCTCAAAGCGGATAAATTGTTATTAATATTTAATAATCATTATAAGGAGGAAAATTTGGCAAACATTTGAAGTTTTATACGTATTTTGTTACACAGATCATGTACTTCTACATTATGTAAACAAATGCACAAATTGCATGAACAAATAAAGTTTTGCAATGGACTGTCTCTATTTAAGTGGAATCTTGGAAAATAATTGAGAAGATCAACTTAGGCTATGCATATAATAGGTGTGCTTTCTGAAGAAGAATCTCTAGGAATTGTTAGAATTATTAGATTACAAATTGGACACGATTGTAAATTCTTAAGAACGAATTAGCATAATCAGTCATGCTTACAATGCATATTCCTATACCCTATTACTCAGAGAAATTAATGCACTTTGCACGACTGATCTCGCAATCCGTGAATTCTAAGGAATTAAATTGTTCTGACGTGTATTCGCTACTTCGTCGAAGAATGCATGCAGTATAAAGCGCAACCTAAGTCGAATTATTGCTGTTCGTATGACGTTTCGCTACCATATAGCAGAATTGTATGAGTTATGGCAGAGGCTTAGCCTACTTGGCCAGAGAGGCTGTTTGCGAGGAGCAACATAGATGTTCAAGGATAGTTAGAGGCTTAGAAGTATATTTGGAGGATGTACGAGGGAGTTTGAAGGTAGCAAACAACCTGATCGTGTTTTCTTTCGAGAATAAAAACACTATTGCCAGTGTAGCATGTAGCTAGGAGTAGCTCTAGCTGAGAAGGCCAGGATTCCGGTCAATAACGCGAATAACTCGACAAAAGTGTGTCAGAGAACTTCGTAAAAGTCCAAATAGGAATCTCAGGTTCGTAATAAACCTAATATTGGAATTACACGTTGCTTTGATCTAACGTCTAACGGTAAGGTAGAAGACCCAATCTTGCCACTGGCTAGCTCTTCATGACAATTAGGTTCTTGGTTGGACTGATACGCCAATTGGTACAAAGAGAAAAGGACCTGTCTCGCCAGTAGCTAACTCTTTGTAAGGATTAGACCCCTAGACTGATATCTCAACCGATGGAGAAGTAGGAGACTCAAGCTGATAGGCTAACTTTACATGACAAGTAGGTTCTATGCCAATCCAACATTCAACAGCACCAATGCATCAATCGGTCATGTTAAGCAGCAACAGCTGCCAAAATGACACTGTCAAAGTGGCCAACTTAGGGTCACCTTTCGCAACTGGTTTTCAGTGTCTACTGCTTGCGAAAAAATTCGCGGAAATGCAAACTTCTTCGTTCATTAATATTTATTATCAATAAAGAAATCACCGAGGTCTATTTAATATCTCGAATTTTTAAAAAGATTTTAATATTTCTTCAATTACAGTCGGTAATATTAAGTAACGAAAGACTCGCGACAGCGTTTTAATTTCCTTTAAGTACCGGGTGTCCCAAAATTTATGCAAATAATCTATCTAAGCTATCTAATATCACGAATTTTTAAAAAGATATTAATAATTCCTCAATTATTATTCGATAATACTCAGTAACGAAAGAATCACGACAGCGTCCTAATTTTCTTTAAGTATAGGGTGTCCCAAAATTTATGCAAATAATCTATCTAAGCTATCTAATATCACGAATTTTTAAAAAGATATTAATAATTCCTCAATTATTATTCGATAATACTCAGTAACGAAAGAATCACGACAGCGTCCTAATTTTCTTTAAATATAGGGTGTCCCAAAATTTATGCAAATAATCTATCTAATCTATCTAATATCTCGAATTTTTAAAAAGATTTTAATAATTCTTCAATTATATTCGGTAATACTTGGTAACGAAAGAATCACAACAGTGTTCTAATTTTCCCTAAATATTGGGTGTTCCAAAATTCACGTAAGAAGTAATTTTAACAGAAAACATAGGTCTTTAATTAAAAATTGGAAATATTGCTCAACAACGAAGAAATTTTGTTCGTTTGTGTAGAGGCCATTTTTAATAACCCTGAACTGTCACCTGTCACGCTATATTTTTGTTTCGTTGGCAGCACTTTATCGCAAAAATGGCGCGTAATTGAAAATCTTGCGTGAATTATGTAACACCCTATATTATGACTGAAATTAATTTTTTCAGAATCCAAAGTACTTGTATATTCTACCAAGTACCAAAATTGGACGAACACGGTTATTTCCTACAGTCAGTACACGTGTACCTGACCTAGGTACACGCGATGTTGATTTTCATTAATTTTCCACGGCTTACCCGAATTTTCCAAAAACACGATTGCCGACGTGTAAAGGACACTGGTAATTTTCCCGAATCACCCAGAAACACGATCCTCTAACTGTTTCGGGTAGCATGTTAAGCAGCATCATCATCCAAATGACACCTCGCAATTACTCGGCGTCGCGAGTGGCGCGAGTGAATGCCGGAATGGCAAATGCCACTTATTTATTGACAATCATCGTAACGGTGTACCGCACGCAATCCGTGGAAAGCGTTACATAATTTCGTCGGCCGAAACTTCCGGGTTTAGATCGTATCTCCGTTTAGAGAAAATTTATTCCGACGTTTGACCTGCATTTCAAACGGGTACGTCCTATGTACTACGATCACCGATACCGTGGAAGCCTTGAAAACGCGTTGTGTAATTCTTTCTCCAAAATTTCACGTGTTTACATATGGAGGCAGCATAGTTTCTGCGATCCGATGATGTGGTCGGCTTATGGCCTTTGGAATTTGTAACTGAATCTCGAGACGTGAGTATGTACCTGTTTGTACATATTTACATCGAACTACAGTGAACTCGTGATACTTGGAATTCCGAATTATTAAAGTTTATAATATAGGGTGTCCCAAAATTTATGCAAATAATCTATCTAATCTATCTAATATCTCGAATTTTTAAAAAGATTTTAATAATTCTTCAATTATATTCGGTAATACTTGGTAACGAAAGAATCACAACAGTGTTCTAATTTTCCCTAAATATTGGGTGTTCCAAAATTCACGTAAGAAGTAATTTTAACAGAAAACATAGGTCTTTAATTAAAAATTGGAAATATTGCTCAACAACGAAGAAATTTTGTTCGTTTGTGTAGAGGCCATTTTTAATAACCCTGAACTGTCACCTGTCACGCTATATTTTTGTTTCGTTGGCAGCACTTTATCGCAAAAATGGCGCGTAATTGAAAATCTTGCGTGAATTATGTAACACCCTATATTATGACTGAAATTAATTTTTTCAGAATCCAAAGTACTTGTATATTCTACCAAGTACCAAAATTGGACGAACACGGTTATTTCCTACAGTCAGTACACGTGTACCTGACCTAGGTACACGCGATGTTGATTTTCATTAATTTTCCACGGCTTACCCGAATTTTCCAAAAACACGATTGCCGACGTGTAAAGGACACTGGTAATTTTCCCGAATCACCCAGAAACACGATCCTCTAACTGTTTCGGGTAGCATGTTAAGCAGCATCATCATCCAAATGACACCTCGCAATTACTCGGCGTCGCGAGTGGCGCGAGTGAATGCCGGAATGGCAAATGCCACTTATTTATTGACAATCATCGTAACGGTGTACCGCACGCAATCCGTGGAAAGCGTTACATAATTTCGTCGGCCGAAACTTCCGGGTTTAGATCGTATCTCCGTTTAGAGAAAATTTATTCCGACGTTTGACCTGCATTTCAAACGGGTACGTCCTATGTACTACGATCACCGATACCGTGGAAGCCTTGAAAACGCGTTGTGTAATTCTTTCTCCAAAATTTCACGTGTTTACATATGGAGGCAGCATAGTTTCTGCGATCCGATGATGTGGTCGGCTTATGGCCTTTGGAATTTGTAACTGAATCTCGAGACGTGAGTATGTACCTGTTTGTACATATTTACATCGAACTACAGTGAACTCGTGATACTTGGAATTCCGAATTATTAAAGTTTATTTATTAATATTAATCTGTTTATTATCAAAATTCGCTATTTCAGATATTTTTGATAGATGTTAGTCTTGCAATCTGAATTTGTATTTATTTATTTTCAGATTGCTATGATGAATAATTTTTATTGCGAATGTTGGGTATTTAATATTGGCTATTTTTGAGGGAAATAAGTATGAGCCTATCTGGGAGTCATTTTTATGTTAGAAAATAATTGGTAAGTGGATGTTAATACGTAGTTTTATAGTAATTAAATACGCGAAATGATTATCCAATCGATTTTACCATAAGTTAATATTTAGTATGCACAATAAATTATTCGTTAATTATATTTTAATTTTCAATTTTTAATTTCGAACCTGTTTGAGCTAATTATCTGTTTTCGATGTGAATATATAAATTGATAATTTCCTGTGTTTGTTGATATATTACTCTAGAGACTCTTGGAAAAGCAGCTTAATAATCGTTATAATGAACTTACGTGGATCCTCGTACTGATTTTCACTGATCTTCTTCAGCTGGATGTACTCCAAGTCCGGTTTCTGAGGAAACGATTCTCTTTTCTTAGAACCATTCTGCTTCTTCGATGGTTTCTCCGATTTTGGAATCACTATAACAGAAAAGAAGAAGAAAACGTTATTCCACGTATTACGGAATATTCAAAATACTCTGAATTCTGAACTTCCGAACCAAATACAATCATATTCGAATCCGCATCCATTATTCTTTTCCTATATCAACTATGCACATATAATAACACGAAAAATTTCTCAATAATTAATCACTTTCATCGCAACATATTGATAAAAATCATCAACATCCCATACTTCCTTCACAAAGCTCCAAACATACTTCCAAACCCCAATTTCTGCCAAAGCCTACCTAACTAATTACCTAATAATCGCATTAAAATCGCATAATCTCCAAGTAGACTATTAGGAAACCTCGCTCACCTGTTCCAGACTATCCATAGAACTGTCCAAACGAATAAAATCCGCTCGCCAAAGCAAAGTTTAAGCAGAACCAATTTCATTAGGTTAAAAGGTAGCCTAGGTGGCACACAGCCGAACACAATGGGAGTGTCGATTAGGCGCGATATTGAACGCATTGGAACGCGTTTAGGTTCCTTTTCTCTGCTCAAAAGTCGGCACACGCGTTACACGGAATACTCACCTACCACCACAGCCATAATTTCCATCGAGCGTTCATCGTGTACGAGATAAGCGGATGTATCGAGCGTTCTGCGCCCGACGATGGACGGGCCGCTGTCTTATCTGGCCCGATTCGGCATTAAGATATCGCGGTACAAATTTAAACGGAAAATTCGCGCGATAACCCCGGCACTCCGGCGCTGAAATTAAAATTAATCGGCGGTGTATTTTTTTCGACAGCGCGCGCTGAAGAGATAAGACGGCTGGAAAAAAGGCGGAGCGGCGTGGATGCCGAGGCATTGCGCAACTGGGCTGTTTAGAATCGATTAACCGTCCTTACTGAGCGGAGAAAAATCGAAATTCTTTCCAGATATATCATCAGCCTTGACCACTGAGACGCCGCGAGCGCGCACACGCGGCCATCGAGCGAAGCTTCTGGTCATCGCGGCCGGTTCCGCCATACTTCCGGTTGCGGAGTAATTATTCTTTTCGTTTGACGGTGATCGATGAAAAATCCGAGATTTTTCCTCTTCGAAATGGAAATTACTGCTTTGGATTGATTTATTTATCCAGTCTTTTTTCTTTTTGCTTTTGGTTCATTAAAATTGTATAAAGTTTCGACATGTTTTGCTGAAGAGATGTAAAGATTTAGATTTGTTCTTGAAAATTGATTCATTTTTCTAATATTTTTATAGGCTTGGTTGATAGAGACTGTAGAATATTTTGACATGGTTCTTTTTATTTTTGGAAATGAAAATTTGTCTTCATTTCTGTCCCTTTCTTCCAATTTTGGTTAATAGAGATTATAGATTGTAAAATATTTTGCATGCTCCTGTTGAGATATTAGAAATTTTCATTCAGTTTCTTATTGCATTTGTATTTGGTATATTTAGAGACAAAATTGGACCACAATCAGGATTATTAAAATTCGAAAATATTCCCGCGTCCCGCCTAGAAATAAAACCTAACCTCAACCAGAGTATTCTACATGTCTTCTTTGAGATATTAGGAATTTTTATCCAGTTTCTTTTCGTACTTGTATTTAGTATATTTAGAGACAAAATTAGGCTACAATCAGGATTATTATAATTCGAAAATATTCCTGTATCCCACATATTAATAAAATCTAACCTCAACTAGGATATTCTGCATGTCCCCTTTGAGATATTAGAAATTTTTATCCAGTTTCTTATCCTATTTATATTCGAGACAAAAATATCGTATTAGAGTCAAAATTAATCCACAATCAGGATTATCAACATTCGAAAATATTCCCATGTTCCATCTATTAATAAAACCTAACCTCCACTAGGATATTCTACATGTCCCCTTGGAGATATTAGAAATTTTCATGCAGTTTCTTATCCTATTTGTATTCGAGACAAACATATCGCATTAGAGTCATAATTAGTCCACAACCAGGATTATTAAAATCCGAAAATATTCCCGCGTCCCGCCTACCAATAAAACCTAACCTCAACCAGAATATTCTGCATGTCTCATTTAAAATATTAAAAATTTTCATCTAGTTTCTTATCCTATTTACACTCGGTATATTCAGAGACAAAATTAGGCTACAATCATGATTATTAAAATCCGAAAATACTCCCGCGTCCCGCCCAACAATGAAACCTTAACCTCAACCACGCTAGCCAACTCGAATCGTGCCAAGCACAGAAGGGCGAGGTCCATCCGTTCAACGAATTTCACGTCGGCCTTCGACGTTCATTAAACACGAAGAAAACAAAGAGGGACAAGCAATGGTAAAAAAATCCTTGTTGATCGACAGGCGATTCATCGGTTCCGCGAAGCGGGCAGATCCTGCCGCGATCGTTACGCAAGTTCATTAAGCCTATTTCTGGTTTCCTGATTTCTAGATAACCACGTCGATCCACCGAGGAGGAGGCGAAATTTCGCGAAGTTGATTAGACGTCAGGCTGATTAGCCGGATCGTTAGCCGGAAAAGTGGCACGGGGACCACGATCCGAAGGATTTTTCGCGGAACTGTCAGCCTGAGAACGTCTCAGCCCTGTCGTGCGAGCTAATTGCTCACAGACGGATGACTGAACACAATGGAACTGGCAATTACCGATGGTATTCGAATCGGAAAAACACTGGTGCAGGTTTTCCGTGTACCTTCGATCCACTAGCACGGAAACGCGGAATTTTTACGCCGAGAGATGGATGAGGATCGGGTTAAACGATTTCTCTGGAACCTTTAGACCGATGAATCGTTAATGGTAATCGCGGAATGGCAATGGTCAACCGCGTTTTAAATGGAAACGGAAGGTCGGAGGATTTCATTAGACAAAGGAGGAATTTTATTAACGTATCGGGCAGGTGTGGCTGGCTCTAGAAATTAGTCGACGCGTTGATTTATCGAGGATCGAGTGACTATCGATCCGGATCGTGGAAGCAATTAGAATTCGTTCGTTCAGGAATTAATGGAGATATTGTATCATCGAGAGAGGAGGAATGCTAATTGTTCCTGGGTGTTCATGCAATAGGGAGCATAGGATAAAAATCTATCGCAATCGTGCCTTTTGACAAGTTCTAATTCACGGGTTTAATCGCGAGAGAGCTGCGCAGCTTCGAAGGCTAATTGCAAATAGAAAATCATCGAAGGATCGAACGTCTCGGAGAGACAGTGCAGTAGCAGCGACCTAGCTTTCTAATATCGAGTACTGTGTTTGATGTAAGCCTCACTAATGAGCTGAGTGGCTTAAAGACTCTTGTACATACGCATCTGGTTATACAATAGTTCAAGCTACGGATAACACTCTGGTAACACGATTATTCGCGATACTCGAATCTGTTTTTCCCTTTGTTTTCCGGTTGAAAATTTCGGAAGTGCTGTTCTCGATTATGGGGCAATTAATTACGAGATCATCGTAGAGTAAAAATTCGTGCCTAAACTTGATCTATCGAGTAGATAATATCGAAGTAGATACTCGTAAATCAAGTAGACACTTAGACTAATTTTCGTCCCAGTGTCAATTACTCGCTGTCAATTATCACCTGGGTAATTGATTAACATTGCACCAATTCTCTGTTATCCAACAATATCTTGACCCAATTATTAAGTTAAATCGTTAATAACGATAACGCGAGGATAGACTTAATGATACAGGGAAGAAATGATAATAACGGAAAGAAAAATAATAATAATAATAATAATAATAATAATAATAATAATAATAATAATAATAATAATAATATTAACAGTAGTAGAAGTAAAAGTAGTAATAGTAGTAGTAGTGGTGGTAGTAGTTGTAGTAGTAGTAATAATAATAATAGTAGTATTAGTAGTTGTTGTAATAATAATAATAATAATAACAATAATAATAATAGCATTAGTAATAGTGGTAGTAGTAGTAGTAGTAGTAGTAATAATAATAATAATAATAATAATAACAATAACAATAACATTAGTAGTAGTGGTAGTAGTAGTAGTAGTAATAATAATAATAATATGTGTAATGACATAACTATAAAAATTGACATAATTAATAAAAAGAAAGTAACCGTGATACTAATGATATCTACATACTGTACATGATAATAATTAATGCTAAAACGGGATTAAGAATGTTTAAACAAGGTCGTAAGAGATTTGAGTTAAAAACACGATTTTAGTGATAAAATGTCGAGGTACATTTTTATATGAAATTTTTCTCAGCTTTCCTCGACGAATAGATCGATTATATTGCGAATGAAAATCGCAAGAGTGGCTCGGAGAAAATAAATCTGCGATCGCCACAGTGACCCAACGCAACTCATGCTCGAAACAATATCTGTGAACAGACCTCGAGATAATTCTCGTAAACGTTTACGATACGCAATCCAATCTACGTCGACGGATGCGTCGAAGGAGATACTCGATCGTTTAACTCGCGTAATTAATTAACACGAGTCGCGACGAGCGAAGGAATCGCGGGTCAGCCGATAACCTGGCTGATTTTTTCGCCATCTTGTCGCATCGGCGACAGTCTCGTAACGTTGTTACATTATTTCGTGGACTGTATGCACCACGTGATGGTAACACATGGTTCGGGACCATTTTCGACACTCTCATCTCTCAATTCGAAAAATTGGAAATGACGATGATATTCGTGCGATTTAATTATCGCAGTAATTCTATTGTACAATGACGATTTTTAAATGCGATGTCTGTGTTTAGTTTCCTTGGAAAATTGGAAGAGAAATTGAAATAATGGAAATAATGATTAAAATTTTCGATTTTATTAATATCTATATTGTAACGATGGAATCTAATCTAACCTAACCTAACTTAACTTGGCTAATTTTTTCGCCATCTTGTTGCAATGACGACAGTCTCGTAACGTTGTAACATTGTTTCGTGGACTGTACCACGTAATAGTAACACGTGGCGGGGACCATTTTCAACACTCATTGATCCCCTAATTCGAAAAATTGAAAAATTGAGAAATTGAAAATG